AATTAAGTACATAACGAGTTACTTATTTTTGTGAGGAACTTTCAACTTAACAAGTCAAATTTTTTATGTACCCATCTCACGTGTTAATTTTAAGATAATTCAGAAGGTATAACAATTATCCTTAATACTTTTAAAATATATCATGACATAAACGGTATCTTTATTATTAAGGTATTTTCTAACACTAATCACTATAATATGGCTCGAAGTTTTAATGAACAACATCGAAACCTAACTAATTGTATTAGTGTTAAAAAATATGAAAATTTTAGTTTTATTTGAAGTTATTATTTTCTTTTTTTCAGTAAACATTTTTACAACATTTTATTTCAATATGCTAAAAATCATTTTGAAAAAAAAATCATAGAACTATCTTATAACTCGAAATTAGTTACCTGGACCTTTATTCTGTAATATTAATTTTATTATAGTCAAGCGTATACGCTCATGCAGTATATGCATTATGCAATACAATATCTATTCAGTATACCTACACATACTGTTGGTATAGCGTTATAATATTATTGCCATTCAACAGAGATGTATCGTCAGAGTAACATAAGTCATAATAAATATATGTACATAACATTATTTGACCTGAAACAATATATAATAATATTTTAACGAAAAAAACCAAATTGACCATAAACCCGCCAAAAATCACACGCACGCACATCTGTGACTCAGATTTCAAATCACAAACTACAATAATACTATTTTGATGCAGTCCTACCACGGCAGTGGGTTAAAAGCCAAGAGCACAACGAGATCGACCAAAAGAACCATGACCACTGAAGGGATCGGCGCCAAAATGGTTGACAAGCGGACAAGGGTTGCGACGTTTAGACTCGCGGAAAAAACTACGCCGCTGCAGACCGCAGTAAAAAAAATTCCTAGACCGCCGGGGGTTGTAGACGTCGTCGTCGTCTCCACCGCGAWTGTCGGTAAATCGGCGACCGGCGACGACGATTCGGTGGACGGGAACGACGATGGCGTACATGAAACCCATGAACCTACGTGGACTGTTGACAACTACGTGCAGTTATTGCGAAAAAGTCTCAAGATAGAATGCCAATCACATATTTTGAACGGCAGTGGTCGTGACGCCGTGCAGTCTGCGGCGACGACACCCGGGTTTGGAAAGGACGCGATTGCGGTGTTGGTAAAACGGGCGATGGCCGCGGTACAGGTACCTACCTGATCTACCTATACTGTTATTGTTATACAGTGTAAAAAACGATCAAATTCTCCAGACTCCAGAGATATTATGTTATAGCCCAGAGGTATTCTAACTGTGTGTCCTGCAACTCCCCAGAAGGGTCGAGAGAATTTGTGAAGGAAGTCGTGTCAAGGCACCGGCAACCGACATTATACCTAGGTCTTGTATGATTATTATAAACATTAGTTATAATTAGGGCTGGGATTTTAATGCCCTCAAAAACCCCGAAAAATGTCCTAAAAAAAATGCTTTTATGACCTAAAAACTCTAAATAATGCCCTAAAAACCCCCAAAATGCCCTAAAAAAAGGGCAATAAATCTTCAAATTTTTTTATTTTTAATAATTTTAGTATAAATTACAATAAAAAGTTACTCAAACCTTGTC